GAGGGGGTGGTGGCAGCGGAGTCCAGGGTAGAGGCGAGGGTGGAGTCGAAGGTGGAGACGAGGGTGGAGGCGAGGGGCGTCGGCAGACCGGCGGCGGTAGCTCGGCCACGGAGGCGAGAGTCGCTGCAGAAGCAGAAGGCGGAGGAGGAGGCGGCGTCGGCGACAGGGGGACAGCGCGAGGTGGCGAGGCGAGGTGGGGAGGCGGGTGGTGGCGGCGGAGGCGGCGGAGGCGGTGGAGGCGGTGAGCGGCGGCGATGGGAGGCAGGCGGCGGGGCCGGAAGGGAGTGGCGTGGCGCGTGGTGGGCACCTTTGCAAAAAAACGCGCGAGATCCTCGGGCGAACCAGGCACGTACACCTTGTCCTCCTCCTGCGCGGAGCGATGCGGAGGAGGGGCTCACGCCGGCGCACTGAGGACGCGCCTCTACCCTGCTGCCGCGTCACTCGCGTCATGCGCAAGCTGTCCCTCTCTCGCGCGCGCGTGCTGCATCTGGCGGTGTGGTTGGTCTCGACGGGAGACGGGCGGCCACACTTTCCGCCAACCGCGCGGCACGGCGCGAGTCGAGCCGGTGGCTACGGCGGTGCGCACCTCCATGGCGCCAGGCGTCTTGACCTCCTCCATGGTCAAGGCTGCGGTTGGTCCCGAAGGAGAAGGGAGAGAGCTCTCGGTCGCGCGCGGAGGGAGCTGCAAGATCAGAGCCACAAGTGCATCTCCCAACCACGTTTTTCTTCTTGCCAGTCCGAGCCAGTCTGCTGTGAGAGGGGCTTGTATAGTAAAATTCTTCTTGCCAGGTTTTGCGAAGCGAACCTAACATACACCTTCCTACAGACATACATAACCTCACTGCCCTTCTTCAGCGGCGAGGGCGCGCTGCACCGGGCCGACCTGCAGCCGTCGCTACGTGCGGCGGGGCTCAACGCGGGGCAGCGCGCCGACGACGTCGAATGCGCCGCCGTGGCATCGCGGCGCCGACGACCAGGCTCAGAGGACGACCCCGGGTAAGCGTTCCCGTGCCTCGACATTGCCGCTGGTAGGCGCGCCATGGCGGGCGCGCCGCGGCCGCGCGCAACCTTCGTCACAATGCCAACCGCGCGCGGCCGAGAGAGAGAGAGATTTTTAGCAATACCAAATGTTTGTCGCGGCCGTCGACCGGCAAGCACACGCCTCGACTCGGAAACACTGTTCCGAGGGCAAGGGAGAGGGGTAGGCTCCAAGCCCGAGAGGAGAGCTTCCGAGACCCACTACAAGACCCCGCGCACATCATCCCGCGGCCTGGCGGTCGGCGGGATTGCAACCAGTCTTCGCGTGCCGCCTGTCGTTCGATTCGGGCGCCTTGGGCGTCGGGGTGGCGAACAGGGGACGCGGCTCTGAGTG